GGCACTTCGAGGAGGAGAAGCGCATTCTGCGCGAGCAGCTCACCACTGTGCACCAGAAGGAGCTGGATTCTGCTAAAGCATTCGCCAGCACTGTCACCGTCAAGGTACAGTACATGTATTATTAGAATATAATGAATGTTGCATTCGTACATACAGGACTGTTTCATGATAACTATTGCTCCCGTGTTAAATTGTTAAGTTTTAATTGTTGGCAATTTGGCAGCATGCCATTATTCAACTAGCTACCGTACACAACTAAACTAGTGAACTACCTGTGTAGTTCAATAGTGCATTTTACACGTGATTCTAATAACATCAAATTAGTGAACACACTTACACACACTTCCTCATAACGTACAAGTGGGCTCTCTGAGTTAGTTTGAATGTGATATTGGGCGGGAAACAAGCCATACTTACACTTTTATGAGATAATTACTCAAGTTACACCGTCCTGGCATTGTAACATTCCTTTGACCTCTTTTATCAATATTTGATAATATATTCAAACATTCAGATCGCATCAACAATTAGACATATTATATTTAGACGGCAATAGAGTTGTAGTTTAAGTAGAGCTAGAGTTAAGTAGAGTTGGGTACTACAGCAGAATAACGGCCCCTCTAAGGTAGTATATATATATCAGTAAACCTTCTCATATTACCATGGTTACAAGCTAAGTGGTCTGGGGTTACTAGTTGTCTAAACGTGTAGTCTGGCGTATAAGGTACTGGAATCATTTACCAATACACTGGCTAGCAGTTATTTCATTTAAGATTCATGGGGATGTTACATATGTCATCCAACTTAATAATAATATCTGACTCTACAATTGAGTAGATTATATTCATGACAACACAACATTCCAATCATTTCACCCCAGTATCACATACCTTACAAGACATATTTATAACGTACGAAATGTGGCGGTTTTCCGAAAATTTCGCCATATTTTCGGACCGCCAAAATTTCGGTCGTCGTAATAGAATCCGTCGCATTATATTTAGCTTATTTCAATGACTGTGCCTTCACTGCTTTATTTTGTTTCTAAAAAGTAATATCAAGTAAAATAAATAAATAAATTCTGGCATCTTGGGACAAATTATCACCACACCAATGACGAATTGAATGTCAAGCAATACAGTTTAAATTTGCATTAAAATACATGTATGTGCTAACATGAAAGTCTTACAGTCTTAATACAGACTAAGTTTGAACATGATTTTACCGAATTTCAGAAATTTCCTTACTGCTTATATATTACTGTCACAAAAAATTATGAAAAATACCCTTATTTTCTGTGACGTCCGAAATTTGACGGTTTTTGTTCAATTTCGCCATATTTTCGGACCGCCAAAATTTCGGTCGTCGCAAATTAGGCCGCCATAAATATTTCTTGTAAGGTAGACATTTTACATTCTGCTACTGCTATGATTTCTCCGATACATTGTAATTTTTAAAGAAGCAGCTTTACGGAAATTACGAACATCTGCTGGACACGCTACTTTGTAACGGTCTAACTCCCTAAACAACCACCTTACTTTTTCAGGAAACGGTAGAGCATACAGTCGAGTTCCGTAAATACCTGGCAGAGATTGAGGAGCTGAAACTCACGATAGACGCTATGTTGGCAAAGGAGAAGAAACTCCAGGAGAGAATTAAGATGTTGGAGGATCTGCTGAAGAAAGCTGAAGATAACGCAAGGGAAAAAGACGCGAAACATCAGGTTAGATTCTTCATTATCTAACTTAATCTCTTCTTTCTTCTTTAATAACTTTATCTAACACAGTCTTAACACATACCTTCGTGTGTATATTGCTCCTAATTGACGCCCTTGTTAAGGAATTAAATTCACACTGAATATCTAGGAAATTAAAAGTGTTGTTATTCATACAGTCGGTTCAAAACTCCAGTTAGCACAGAATTACTTCCGTGTCCATCTACTAAGCCGCCCAAATACTTATACCCCATCACATTAAGTATAACCGTTAACACAACCATTTCCCTTATCAGTTAGCACAACAATTTCCCGCAACAGTCGTTATATCTCTTAAGTTATACACTCAACAATCTGTACTCGAATACAATGCGTACTGTACTAAATATGTTACTGCGATATCAAATGTAACACTGTTGTTCCCAGACTGACATAGACAAGCTAGATAAAGCAATGAAGGCTCTCCTTAAAGATTATTCAGATCTCATGGATGTCAAAGTTACTCTAGATATGGAAATTGCAGCTTACAGAAAACTCCTTCAAGCAGAAGAGGTATGTTGGTTTTTACTTAATATTGATTTTTCTCAGTTGATGTTTGGTACTACTTACCCCACTAATTTTAAGAGAATTACATTTAAAATTGGTTTAAGATGTAAGAGGGATGGAGCACTCGGTATTTATAGTCCGGGCCACCTGGCTAGGTCCCTCCTAATTGGATGTGCACTGCAGAGCACAGTCCTTCATGGTATTTGAAACTTGAAACCGCTAATTTAATACAAATCTCAGTTTCCTCGGTAAATAAATATTTGGCAAACCATAAAAAAGTTTCGCGCCGTAATTAGTCGTATCATATCACACCACTCCGTCATGGAGTCCAGACTCCAGGGGTTGGAATTTTATTGTGGTAACTTGACCGCTATGATGTAATTATCTCATTAATAATGATTGATAGTTCCACCCGAAGATTTTATTACTAAACTCCGAAGCAGCATGGCATCTAGTTAAAATGGGTTTATACTTACACTTTTAACTCTGACATCTCGTCATCATAAAATAGAGATATGATGTGTTGTACAATGACCATTAACGGAATTACCGTGCCAGTCATTAACCAATTAACTCCTAATTAACCCCAATTATCCCAGGTGAGGTTGAACCTGACGCCGTCACCCAAGTCCGGCCGTGTCAGATCAGCTCTTTCGTTTAACGATGCGGATGCTCCCAGCCGGAAACGACAGAGAGTAATGGAGGAGAGCTTCACAACGGAGACTAACTCACATGTTTCTATAGACGAGGTGAGTCTAAACTGGGGAACAGTTGTCGGGCCGCTGGTCTGTACTATTGAGATATTGGTATGCGCTCAAATTCTAGAAAATGTGGACAATTCTTTTCTAACAAAGAAATGTTACCTCCCACTAGTCACTTGAAATAGAAGTATTAGCAGGACAAGAGATTTATTCATTATGCCGCGGAAATTTTAATCACTGTTGCATGACGATATTGTTACATTTTACAAGACTTACAAGTTACACACATTCCACTACGTTTTGTAGCATGCTGGCTTCTTACATAATATGTATAGTTATCCGTGTGTCACGTTTAGTATAGCGATGACTTCAGCACAGTCTATAAGTCTATAATTTAACCCTAAATTATGAAACTAACCACCCACACCCAGGTGTCAATAGAACACGACTACGTTGCTATAAGCAACATGACGGAGAAGGATCAGATAATGAAAGGGTGGACTATCTCCAAGGTATCTGCTGAGGAGACTCTGGAGTATAAGTTCCCCGCTAAAGCAGTCATTGGCCCCGATCAAACCCTCAAGGTAACTATTAGTCCGTTAGCGATCCTCAATAGTTCACGAAACCGTATTTGGAAGTTTAGTAATTGCCGAATGTACGGTATTGCTATGCAGTGACAGCTCTATGTTGCATAATTTCGCGCGTTGTATTACTCTCCATGGATGACTTGTTGGGTTTCTGCCGCTATACCAGGAAAAATTTAAAGTTTAAACGGTTCGAGAAGATGTGTGCTAAATGTTGCGTGTATGATTGGACTGACTGGAGTAATCAGCAGTGCTCCCAACACTCAGCAGTCATTGTATTCTCCGTTGTCATCACATGTAAACCATGTACCTTTTATCGCTAAGTTAGTGCCCTAATTCAACCAACAACCGTGATGAAACTTAGACCACTGATAGTCTGATGTAATGCCACATTATTACACTCCAACTAACCCCACCCTTCCAGGTGTACAGCGCTGGAGCTGGAGCTGCCCACAACCCCCCACTCAACTTGGTATTCAAAAAACTAGACGCCTGGTCCAACACCATGGACGTGCAGATTGTCCTGAAGAACTCAGACGGGGATGTGGTCAGCACCTACAAAGCCAAAGCAGAGACCAGCACCGAGTATTTGGAAGAAGGAGATCAGCGAGCCTGCTCACTCATGTGATCACGTGGCGTGGTTACGTCATTATAGGGGCTCCGTGTCATGTAAATATTATAGCTATTATATCATACCAATATTTTATTTTACCAATGATTATGAACTTATAAAGTTATATGCGATGTATCCCTTAACCTTTTATCAGTTGTTTGCCGTGTGTGTGTGTGTTGTAACGACTGTTTCATGATTCGTTGCATGTTTTTTGACATCATGACATCATAATACGACGTCATCATAACGTTATGACGTCATCGTAACGATATGACGTCATCGCAACGTTATGACAGACCAACCAGTGCAAATAGTTTAGAATTTAGGTATTTATTTTAGCTATGTGTACGATAACTTTCTAATTATATTCATTAAGGTATGAGTTTGATGTTTAACTTCTTTTATTGTATGACACGCTGCCGATTAATTATGAGACAAGTTTTATTCAATTTCAAAAGTTATTTGACGTTGAAGTTTCATTATATAAATTTTATTAGGTTTTCGTGGCTTACTCGAGGTTCGATTTGATGGGTTTGTCAACTTTTGGGGTTAAGGTTTGGTACTTTTAGGATTTTAGGATATTAATTCGATTCCAACCAGAGGAAATCTATATTTCATGCTATTTTATACCGTTCAGCTTGTTTTTGGGAGAATGCACGACACGTTTATTATCATTATGTTAGTTTAAACTTTACGAGGAAAGTAGTTTGACCGTTTTAAGCTTGAAAACTGACCGTTTAATGTTTAATACTTCAAAAAATTTCTATATTTTAAACGAAAATGTTACTGCCGAAATTAATACCCGTTTACACTTATAAGGGGATTTGCCCAGAATTTATTTTAAAATGAAGTGTTAAAACGACTCATTTTATTTTGTACTATTTAAATTGGAAATAAATATTTTCTTTCTATTATAATCGATGAGTTTCTGGGGTTTCTGGAAGAACGTGACAAACATGTATGAAGTTATTCCCTCTGGCAATGAAATCTAATTAGTAATTGGTCCCACAACCCATTCGATCATTCGGTCTCTAAGTGAATCCATTCTGCCAAGACATCTACTGAAACTAGCAAACACGCCATGCTTCCTTATAGAAACTTGCGCGCATATGAGCGCGTGTACATGATATTCAATTTCTACCGCCTTTTAAAACAGTACAAGATAATTATCAATTACTGTCCCAAATGATCATCAATCATTAGTCAGCTGCATTCTTTCTCTCACGATACCTTGTACCGCTCTAGAGGAGGCCCATACTATTTCACTCGGCCGAGAAATAACCACGAGAATCGGGCGAAATGACCGTGTCTAATATTATGTGTACCCTTGCGATGGTGAAAAGTAAATTTGCCGTCCACCTGATGAGTTATGTGCCGCTCCCCCCCCCCCCCCCCCTAACGGTAGGAAATTTTCAGATATGCTATCCTCGCAACCCAAGTAGTATTTGGGACCGAAATTTGTGTAAAATCGGTTTCTGATAGGGTGCTGGTATGATCATTACTTACGTTTGCCTGTGAGGCCGTGGGGACACTTCCTCATAGTATAGTGTATTTCCGGAAAATCTGAGGATTATATCATATATTCAACATCATTGTGTCTACATCTTCTTATCTAAGCGAATTAGCACGCGCCGGCCGTTGTGATTAGATAGGAGTGAAGACTGAAGAGGTATCCAACTAGGGTTTGCATTATCGGTCTAATACATAATAATTTTTATCGCCGATAACCGATAACAATTTTGAAATTATCGGCGATAAAATTTGGCCAGAACAATTTACATTTACAATGAGCTAGGTTTTAGTTAATTTTTATGACTGATATAATCAATTACACCTTGATCACCTTTGTGAATGATGATTCCTGAGTTAGGGGTCGTTCACATATTACGTAATCAGCTGGGGGGGGGGGGGGGGGGTGGGTTTCCGAATGATTACGCTAGTGTAATTTTGACACAATAGCTATGTGTAAAACTGATTACGGAGGGGGATGGGGGGGGGGGGGGGGCCGGGGGGGTAAAAATGTTCCAAAAAATGATGTGAACGACCCCTTACTGTTAGTGTTACACGAGTTCTAAACACGTAATTTGAAATCCCACAACGGCTTCGTAAATTTATTTAGAAAGCAATCAAATAATATCAATTAAAATTTAAAGTGCGTGCAAATTACAATTTACAGATGTTTAAAGAAAAACAAGTAACTTGACTTAGAAGTTTTATTGGCGAAATAGAATTTTAGGAATATCAACATATCTAATTCTAAAAACTTGTCCGAGAGCCTACATCTTAGTTTTGTGAGGAAAAGCCCACTGGCGCTAAATGTCCTCTCGGCCTCCACGGAAGTAGGTGGTATGGTAGATATGCAGCTCGCTTATCGCAGTAGTCTTCTTCTTGCCAGGAGTAGCCATGAAGAGAGCGATCTCTTTAGTCTACGTGTCCTTTCGTGATGGGGACGAGTCTATGACTTGGTTAACAGTGAAAATAACTCGTTTGCTAGCGGAATCCGTTGAGAAGCTGATAAAGCATCGCCATCATCGTTGGACCGGAGGTCCAATAACGCTAAATTTGACCGGTGATTTTACGGAATTTCGAACTTTTTGGAAATAATTTTTGAAGAAAAGATTTTGATATTAATATTATCGGTTTATCGGTTGAAAATTATCGCCTATAACCGTGAACCGATAATTGATAATGAAATGTTCACAAATTATCGCCGATCGCGATAATATCGGTTGCAATATCCAACGTGTATCCACTTTTAGCCTCTAGGGCTTCCCTGCCTTCATTCCCATCTTCATCATTTGGTGTTGCAGTATATATCTCTGTATCAGTATGAACAGGAGTAAATTTGCTTTATGCTCTAACATCTAAGAATTTCCAAAATAAGGACCCTCTCCAACCATTCCTCTCCGCGGAGGGCAACGGTAAAGTAAAATAACTACCAGCATTCCTCAACTCGGTCTTACAATCCCGACTCCAATATACTTACAAACGGAAAATCATCAGAATAGAAGGAGACTTATAGCCTGTAGCTAGATAATGACTAAATGTTTAAAATGAAGTTGGTGTCAGGTGTGAGTGACATAAGTCACTCACACCTGACATGCTCAGAAATGTTCTTATTTGAAAATGAATTTTCGTTTTGTAAAGATTTCTGCTGTGAGCTTCCTCCGACCCAAATCAAACTTCTAGCACCTCAATCGTGTCATTTGGCATCTATAGTTGACTGACTAATTGGTTGCAGGTCAGAAATTCGGCCAAAACTGTAAAATTTCAGCCCTGGAAATTTCAGCTTCAAAAACTGAAAATGGGACAGAGTATGGGACAGTATGATTTTCCAATTTTTTCGAGATTTTGACTTCCAGTACCCCAATTTGGTTTCATACCATCATCAATTAACTGACTAATTGGTTTGTGGGCAAAAATTTCATCCGATCTGTCAAATGTGTGTTCAGACATTTTCATATCTGAAAATGGGACAGAGTTTTGAAAATACAAGTTTTCGTTTTGTAAAGATTTCTGCTGTGAGCTTCCTCCAACCCAAATCAAACTTCTAGCACCTCAATCGTGTCATTTGGCATCTATAGTTGACTGACTAATTGGTTGCAGGTCAGAAATTCGGCCAAAACTGTAAAATTTCAGCCCTGGAAATTTCAGCTTCAAAAACTGAAAATGGGACAGAGTATGGGACAGTATGATTTTCCAATTTTTTCGAGATTTTGACTTCCAGTACCCCAATTTGGTTTCATACCATCATCAATTAACTGAATAATTGGTTTGTGGGCAAAAATTTCATCCGATCTGTCAAATGTGTGTTCAGAAATTTTCATATCTGAAAATGGGACAGAGTTTTGAAAATACAAGTTTTCGTTTTGTAAAGATTTCTGCTGTGAGCTTCCTCCAACCCAAATCAAACTTCTAGCACCTCAATCGTGTCATTTGGCATCTATAGTTGACTGACTAATTGGTTGCAGGTCAGAAATTCGGCCAAAACTGTAAAATTTCAGTCCTGGAAATTTCAGCTTCAAAAACTGAAAATGGGACAGAGTATGGGACAGTATGATTTTCCAATTTTTTCGAGATTTTGACTTCCAGTACCCCAATTTGGTTTCATACCATCATCAATTAACTGACTAATTGGTTTGTGGGCAAAAATTTCATCCGATCTGTCAAATGTGTGTTCAGACATTTTCATATCTGAAAATGGGACAGAGTTTTGAAAATACAAGTTTTCGTTTTGTAAAGATTTCTGCTGTGAGCTTCCTCCAACCCAAATCAAACTTCTAGCACCTCAATCGTGTCATTTGGCATCTATAGTTGACTGACTAATTGGTTGCAGGTCAGAAATTCTTCCAAAACTGTAAAATTTCAGCCCTGGAAATTTCAGCTTCAAAAACTGAAAATGGGACAGAGTATGGGACAGTATGATTTTCCAATTTTTTCGAGATTTTGACTTCCAGTACCCCAATTTGGTTTCATACCATCATCAATTAACTGACTAATTCGTTTGTGGGCAAAAATTTCATCCGATCTGTCAAATGTGTGTTCAGAAATTTTCATATCTGAAAATGGGACAGAGTTTTGAAAATACAAGTTTTCGTTTTGTAAAGATTTCTGCTGTGAGCTTCCTCCAACCCAAATCAAACTTCTAGCACCTCAATCGTGTCATTTGGCATCTATAGTTGACTGACTAATTGGTTGCGGGTCAGAAATTCGGCCAAAACTGTAAAATTTCAGCCCTGGAAATTTCAGCTTCAAAAACTGAAAATGGGACAGAGTAGGGTAAGGCACGTAATTTTGTCAGGGTACCTAATTTTGTCATTTTGCTCTGAAAAACTGCCTCGGCTCGGAATTTCAGCTTGAAAGAAAAGGTTTGTGTATAAAAAGAAAGCTTAGACTTTGCTGACACTGCTCCTACAAAGTTTTAGTTTCTAGCTCTTTTGCATCTGTGTCAAAAATGAAGGCGAAACTGTTAACCCGAAAAATAAATAAGATCCTTAAGGTTTTCTTAAGGAATTTTCAAAATTTTGATTTATTGCTATTTCAAAAGTAATTGAGCTAGCTTCATGCCATTGCATATTTCAAATATCTTCTACAGCAGAAGTATACGTACAAATTTTCAAGTCTCTAGCGCAATTATTGTTCAAGTTACAGAGGGTGACAAAATTAGGTTCGATTTTGCCAAAAGTACCTAATTTTGTCAAAAAAATCGACCTTTCTCAAATTTCTTGTAAATCACAGATTGTGTTGAAAATGGCCTTATACAACTATTCTGAAGTTTTTTTGCCCATAAGATATGTATAAGGTACTTATAATAGCATAACACTTATAATAGCATATTTTCGCCGAGGTGGATAATCTGATTTTTTCAATCTAAAATGACTAAAAAAATATTTGATGAAATTACTAAGCAAGTGATCTATCTACAGACATGAAAATTTCAACCTAGACCTAGAACCAATCGTTTTTCAAGATACCAGTGGTTTCAGGGGCATTTGGGGGCTATTTTCTAAGATTAGATACCCAAAAAGTGTCATCTTTTCATCAAGCTACAAAACTATGAAAACATCATATCTTTGGGATTTTTGAGGTCAATGTTGGTAAAAAAGCGCTCGAATGATGCATCCAGGTAGTCTAAAATACCGAGAAACGGTTACTTTTTGCACAATCTTCAAGTGACAAAATTAGGTTCGGGGTGACAAAATTAAGTAAAGTCACCTAATTTTGTCATTTTTTCAAAATAATTTTTTTGAACATCTTCAACCCCAGCAATTTCGATCATTTTTGTGTTAGAACTTGCCTAGACTGTCTACTATAACATGGTGGAGGTTTCATCTAAATCGGAATTTCAGACGAGGTTAAAACCCATGGTTTATATCAGGCAGTCGGAAAATTGCCAAAAAATGACAAAATTATGTGCTTTACCCTATGGGACAGTATGATTTTCCAATTTTTTCGAGATTTTGACTTCCAGTACCCCAATTTGGTTTCATACCATCATCAATTAACTGACTAATTGGTTTGTGGGCAAAAATTTCATCCAATCTGTCAAATGTGTGTTCAGAAATTTTCATATCTGAAAATGGGACAGAGTTTTGAAAATACAACTTTTCGTTTTGTAAAGATTTCTGCTGTGAGCTTCCTCCGACCCAAATCAAACTTCTAGCACCTCAATCGTGTCATTTGGCATCTATAGTTGACTGACTAATTGGTTGCGGGTCAGAAATTCGGCCAAAACTTTAAAATTTCGGTCCTGGAAATTTCATCTTCAAAAACTGAAAATGGGACAGAGAATGGGACAATATAATTATTCAATTTTTGGTGTGCAAAAAGTCCGTCCAATCTCTCAAAATTGTCATTAGTGTCTCATACGAGCATTTATAAACTCCGATCTGATAGAGTTGTATTGAAAACGGCCTTGTTTTGAAATGAATCAAGTTTAGCTATGATTGAGCGCAGCGCAATTCCGCTACACACATTGCGTAAAATGAAAAGTTTTATCGCAAATAATGAGATGCGCGTTACGTACTTTACTAATATTTGCTGTGACCGATTGATCCTTTCCGTATATAATGCACTAATAAATAACCTTTCAAGAGTTTATAATGAATCCTTGTGTGGAGTTGAATCGCTATTTACAGAGACCACTTACACTATTAACAGAGAATGATTCAGATGAAATGAACAAGCAGGATATTAGTAAATAGTTTGAAGTTGACATTTGGTTGAAAGCGAGTGACAATAGATTCAACTTTTATAACTATTCAATTTGTTGAATGGGTTTATATTTACAAGTTATAATACATCACAAAAAATATTTTCGCTACAATAGAAATCATCTACTTAAAATATAAGAGAGTTGAATTTAACCAAAATTACAACAATTAATTTTGGAAGTTTCGAGTAGATTGCATAGCAAGGAAAAGGCAGGAGAAAGCGGCGACAAGACACATCACATGTAATTTCTATTGTTATCGACGTACATCATTCTTACTTTATCAACTTTAAAAATTACAAAATTTCATTTCATACACTGTTTTTGATGAATAACCAGAGACCGGACTGTAAACGATTTATTGCAGTTAATACAGGGTACAAACTTCCCCGTTACGAATTTACCGATGACTTGAGTTGGTGAGCTCAAACCGTTGGTAGTGAAGGAGTTACCCCCTTCTTCAGCGTTATTCGGAGCCCGACTTATATCTGGAACAGTGATCGACTTATTTAGCTCATCTTGATTCTTGATAGCACACCGCATCTCATGCTCCTCAATTACATCAGCTCTGAAGCTACGGTTACAAATATCACAGGCGACAAGTTCTTGTTTTGGAGCGTAGGGAGGTTTTGGGACCTTGGTGGTGGTGGACGGTGGTATGGTGATGGAGCGAGTCATGGTGGTTTTCTGGCAGTAATTATGGTAGTGGGTGTTGAGTTTGCTCTTCAGCACGATCAGACCGCACACCATACAGTTCATAACCAGACCAGGATCCACACCCAGTATCAGATCTACTTCCACTTCTAGGCTGGTGTCCAGACTGGAACTCAGTCTGTCTGCAGATGGTGGTCTGGGAGAGTAGCGAGCGTATGGGTTACCTTTAACATTGTTAGCATTACCCTTAACATTGTTAACATTGCCTGACAGTGGCTCGATCCTCTTAGGAGGAGTTTGTGGAGGGGTTAACTGAGGTTTTTGCTTTTTTGGGGAAACTTTTTCGGAGGGACCCTTTGGACCAAAAATCTTCTTAGGAGCTGCAGAGCAATTTCTAATGTGAACAGCGATGACGTTAAGGGGGTATTTCTTATTGCAGTACGTACACTCAGAAGAATCTGAAGTTTGGGGTAGAGGTTCTGACCGAGATCTGCACTTTTTAATGTGGATGTTAATAGCATTGTGACTGATGGCTTTGCCGCAGAACTGGCAGGGAACAGTTTGCAGTGGTCCTCTGGAGAGGGTCAGGTTCGCTGTTGTATGTGATCTGCCTTGTAGAACGTTGGTCGCATTGTTGTTCACTGTTTTCGTGGGGATGTTGGTATTGAATTGACCTGTTTTCTTCTTCTCGATAGTGTTGCTTGAAAATGTTTTCTCTTTTTTCATGGCGATAGCATCAACTTGCTGACCGTCAACAACATGCACTCGTTGCCCATAATATCCCGAATTGGATTTCAAGGCCGCAGCTGGTGCCATCTTCAGATTGCAGCAAACTTTCTCGTGAGATTCAATCCTAGTGGGCAGGAACTTTCTTGAACAATTCCTGCATGGCACCAAATTCTCAGTAGCTGCAATATTAGACGCCATGTTAATCTTCTCAATCTGAGCTGCCCTAGCTGTGGGATCAGCACTGAACGGTTCATCGAACTCTACCGGCTTCACCGGTTTGGCTTGTCTCTTGCTCTTTGGAAGCTTCTGGTTTTGGATATCCCATTTCTTCAAGCACTGAGGCTCATGAATGCCAATGCTGCGGGTCCCAAACTCTCGCCCGCATATGTAGCAGACAACTCCAACTTGTCTCAGACCCATGTTGACGAATGTTTGTCCTGGTGTGGTCACATTAGGATGGTTAACTGGACACCAGCTACGTCACCATGTGCTAGTTGGAAAAGTGTTGTGTTAACTAGTAACTAACTTATAACAAAGCTAGTTTTTAATTTGATTGAAGGAGAAAACCGAGATTATCAAAAGTATAATTTTAGCGTTCGTAAGCAGTAATTTGACAGGAGATGTATCGAGAGAAAAGCTATCTAGATAAGACCAAGATTTCTACAAAACACAAAATGTAAGCTCTCAAGTTATTGTATTTCTATCTATAAAATGTAACAAGCAGATAATTCAACACGATTCTTCGTGCTTGAGGCTCTTTAGTATGGACGACCGCGACACAGCTAAGCATCGGAATATTACCATTATTAGTATCACAATTAAACGTTATCGCTTATCTTAACTCCTATTCGATCAGCAAATGACGTGAAAGCATGTATTCGCACGCATGATCAGAAACACGCAAAACTATTTAAAAGAATACGTATCAAACTGTGATATTCTAGAACAAATCAAGTTTAGTTTTGTTAGACAAGTGACAACAGGGACAGAGACAAAATTGGGATAATAATTGAGGATCAGTAGTCAATACAGTTTTTGGCCGGATTGTAACAGTTTTTTCAATTTATTAAAATAATTCTATTAAAAAAAACAGTCGCTTTGAACTGAACCAAAGAAAATTAGGCCAAGGGCAAGGTGATGGTCCACTGAATGGCTGAATGAAACCAAACTGGCCTGAGGATCACAGCAGTACAAACGCGATTAATCTCAACCGGTATATAGAGTTTCAGAAAATTAAATTAGATCTATACCTTAACCAAATCCCATTGCTGGGCAACCCCAAAAACAAATGTTTAACATGCACATTATCAACTATGTCTCATTATCTTTCTTAAAAACAGTAGAAATCATGTCTTTACGGGGTTCAACGGGAGGTGCAATATTTTTCATGATTTGTCTGCCATAATCAGTAGTCATTAAACCAGCATTTCGTAAAGCCTTCTCCACCTTCCACCTCATATCGCCAGATATAGCACTATCTTCATATCCCACAACTTTGAACAGCTGAAACTTTCCGATATAATCTGATTCCTTCAACCTAGCCGTGGTTGCTTTAGTGTCTCGGTGCACTCTAGCAGGATCATAAGGAGCCTCCACAGCGACTGTAGCAGCTAGTTTATCTAACTGCTCCTTTCTGCGCTGCTCCTCCTCGTGTTGCTGGGCCTCTGCAGCTGCTTGTTCTTCTAGTTTCTTGTCGTGAAGCTCGTGACGGTGATCAACACGCTTTTTCCCAGCTGCTAGCTTGTTCTTTTTCATAGCGGCTTGCTTATCCTTAAGCTGCTCCAGCCTTCTCTCGAACTCTTTCTGTTTGTCTTCCTTCATTTCGTTGAAAACCTGGATCTTATCTTTGTCCGCTTTTCTTTGTTTTGCTCGTCTTCGTTCAAACTCTGCTCTCTCCTTGTTCATGCGTTCCTGATACCCTGATAATTCTTTCTCCTCTGCTCGAATCTTCTTCAACTTATCAGCTCGACACCTCAGTAAATTCTCGAATATTCGTGCTGTGTTCTCTTTCTGCGACAGAATTTCATCAGCTTTCTGTCGCATTTCCCTAACCTGGACCCATTGCTGTTTACAATCTGCCTCTGCGGTCGCTACCAGCTTCTGCAAAGCACTTTGGTGCATGTGCTTGATGGATTTCCTGTGTTCCCAATACATGTCATATAACTGCACCCACTCGCCATGCTCCTTCAACTCGAGCTCCGTTTTATGGCACATGACCAGTTTTAGCATTTCCAGACACAGTGTACTTCTCTGAAACTTATCCACAGGGTACTGGTGAGTGATATGTCTGAAGAGGATGTGGTCCTCGTTACACCAACCACCGTGCTTCCCTTTATCCAGCATGATGCTGTAGTAATCCCTCAACTCCATCAATACATCATTGTACTTCTTATCCACAGACAAGTACTCTTCAATGTATTCACATATCGTTTCTTCATGAGGGAACTTTAGTCTGAGTAGAGATTCAGTTACACTCTCTGCCTCAAACTCCCACGCTTTTAGAACTGAATTAAATACACTGAGATCATTGTCCAAAGATTGACCCTGGTCATTCAGGACATCCAAAATATGATTTTGTTGAGAAGTCATGGTTTCGTAAATTGGTTTAATGTCAATGGCATTGCTAGTGTCTGGTTTGAGAAGCCACTGTTGCATATCCTCTATAAATTCCCAAACTGGCTGAATCGTTCCTACTTCAAATGCTTTAAATTCTTCTTGCATGCTATTCAAAAACTCGCAAATTTCATTTTCACACAAAAGCTGACTGGGATCAGCCTGTTCGCTGATAACTGCTGAAATTGATCTTATCTGAGACTTGATGGAAATATCTTCTTTCAACCAAACCTCCTTATGCTGATTAAAGGCAGATGTGGTACCATATCGTGTTTTAACACTGTTGAACTTTTTCAGATGCTGTCTGTCGAGGTGAAGTTTCAGTTTTTCCTGCTGTAACTTGAGACGCAATTCTTTGTAGTCGACATGTCTGTATGTTTGGTTAGCTTGAGCGTTTGATCCCACACAAAACTTTGTAGCTAAATCATCAATATTACCTTTTCCCATATAAGTGTTTACCTGGAATAATTTGGTTATTTTCTTGCTAAATTCACAGAAGGTTTTAAAAATGTACATCGAAACAAACAAGTGAAATAACATGGAGTATGGAAGAGAAAATGTAAGAGATGTAGTAGCCCCTTTTTATTTGATCACAGTATAAAATTTCTAAAAACAGGACTTAGTGTCATGGCTAGTTGACTAGAGTCGGGAAAAAAGAGGGTGAGTTGGAAGGCAGGTTAAATAAATTATACAGCTATGGTATTAACGTGTAACAGTTCAAATGTGTGACATATGTGAATATATCAATCTATGTGCTTATATAGAATATTTGTATTTTTGATAATTAAAGATCATAACATAAGGCCTGGCCTGTTATAGGCTTTCAAAGACAAGGTACAAACAACACTGTCAACTGTTAAATCCTAGTTTCACGTTCAACTTAGTCATCATTAAGCAAAAAACTTGTTGGCCAAAGAGTATCTATCTTCAAAGAAGTTTATAGTCAGTTATTTCGAAACCAGTAATCTCTTCATCATATGCCAAAACTTGAATTGTTATTCATCAGTGATTTATATTGTATTCTTTACATAGCCTAGAATCACTACCTCTGATGGAACATTTTAATGGACAACCAAAAGCTGCTTATGATTAATGATTATTGATTAATCATGACGTAACACAAGGCTGTGAGTATCGACAGTGCTATATTTTAAATGTTTCATGGAAACTTTTTCGAAATCGACTTTTTAGAACTGTTTCTAATAGAGTATCTGATAGTAATATTTATCAGCTGCTTTTAATCCCATCGAAAAAATAGCCGAATTTATCGCTGGTCAAAGGTCAGCACTCAAAACTTATGAGTAAATGCATTGCGCCACAAAATTATGTGCATTAAAAATTGAGTCTAAAAATCATTAAGAAGATTTGGTTAAGAATTTTACGATTTTTCCACAACCTTTACTTGCTAATCCGTGGGTACTAAATCACTCTACGCTGGAACTTTAAGATTTTTCTAAAAGGGTCCCTGGCAGGTTAAATTACAAATTAAAAGTTGAATTGATGTATTTTTGAATGTATCCTTATTCACCATCTAACAAAACAACTTACAGTTCCAACAATGACTGGTAGAGAAACTGCTGCTCTCCTCACTATTGAGGGATATACAAGAACATTTGCCAGGCTGGTAGCTGAATATGATCTTATGGCTAGTATCTCCAAGAAGGTCATTCTAGAGCATTGGTGCCGGAAGAGGACAATTTGAGACAAGGCTCATTCGGGAGCAGGGGCTAAATTTGGGGTATATCTATGCTATCGAGCCGAATACCATCCATGTTTTGCTGTTGGAGATTGAACTGAATAGTCTTGATGGCCAGTACGACATTGACACACCACTCTATAACAAAGAGTTTGAGTTTGAGTTCAATGAGATTGTGATGTCGTTGATGATAAATACAATACAATACACCCTTGTGTAGTGCAGGAATTTCTGTTTCGCTGTCAGGTGAGTTAAATAATGAATTCCTTCCGGCCTGGGGGACCTCAGACTTTTGTGTTCATAATCACAATTGAAGATATAGTGGAATGACAGTTAAGTGGACAGCCCCGTCCAGTAAAACTGCTTTGCTATTTATCCTGGAAGTTAAGTTTCTACTTTCTTCGCCAGTTTAATGTTTTCTTATTTCACTGAAAAATGTGTTAAGTAAGTAAGTCAGTAAGTAAAGATTATGACATAGCATCATCACAAGTGTCTACAAAATATCATTGCACTAAATAGAAAAATAATTTAAATAAATATACTTTTCCATCAACATTAATAATTCATAATTTAACAAATTCAATTTTATTAATTAATAAAATCTAATACATTATCTATAAATAATTCATTAATACTTCCCAGTGGAATAAAGATTTATAAACGCTTCTTTGCCACAAAAAGATGAAACCAAAGATATTCATTATGTTTCTCCTTATGGCTTAAATAGCTGGGTCCTTCAATTTTCCCTAAAACTTCATTCGAAACATTCCAAAAATAAAAATCATTTACACTGTTTTTAGAAATCATTTCTTTCTTAAATCCTTCCAATCTAACTTTAAAGCTTAAAACTGTCGACTAGTTCTTGACATCTGATTGACATACGTTGCATGCCACTTTACGCGTTTGTATCACGTGGTGACCCCCCTGTAGAATTTCGACGATACAGGGGGAGCCGCGCACTCGTGCGCGGCGGGTCATACAACGTATGACAAATATCTCTGATATTTGTGATACGTAACACGTATCAAACATCTGAAGGGAGTTTGTTCTAATAAGGAATGACTCGCTCCGGAAGAAAAGAAGACTGAAGATTCCTGACTTTAGTTACACTCTTATTACATTTATTGGTTGAAATTAGATTAAGACCAGATCTGGTCATTCTGTTAACATTTAAAAATTATTATAATTTGATGCGCGGCGCGTCTAGTAATAAATAATGCTACAAAATCATTTGTTGTTTTTAGTCAAAATATACCATCTAAAGTTTTTTAAGTTTCGTTACTTTTAACATTAAAAATGTTTTTGAATGTGAATGTTTTATTTTGTTAATGTAATCGTTTTAAAAGTTTGATTTCTTTTCCATTTTCTGTTTTCGTATTTTCGAATAACCCCCAAATCTTTTTCCTGTGCAGATACTTCTAGTTACCACTCCATTTATAATATAATTCAGTTAAGGATTATAATTCAGATTAATATGAACTACTTTACACTTGGCAGGATGAATGTTTTAAGTGCCAAAAACTCTCCCAAATTTCTAGTTTCTAAAATATCAATCAGGATACACTTCCATGGTTAGCTGCTTTACAAACTAAATTAGATCATCTGTCAAATAATTTAATCATATTTTTAACATTGTCATGTAAAACGTTTATATAAAGAAAAAAACAAAGGAACCCAATACTACCCCTGGTAACACCAGATAACACGTGTTTCAACCTCAGACCATTGTCCTACTACACAAACCCTCATGGTTTCTGACTTGTCAGACAGTCTTTTTATAACAACTAGAACGTTTCCCTGCCCCCAACCCCTCCAATTTAGATAGAAGTCTAAAGTGGGACTGTGTCAAAAGCCTTACTAAAACAAAATACAAAAGATCGACAGGAGCCACTCGTCTAAAATCAAGAATATTAGTCAAATGTCTCTAAAAAAGATAATAGACAAAATTTACCTTCAAAAATCCATGCTGATGCTTTGAATTCGATCTCTAAAATGTTAATAAATGTGCCATCCCTAACTTTCATACACTTGCACAAAATACAAGTTAATGAGACAAGGTCTATAATTTAAGGGATCAGATTTTAACCACCCTTTTTAACAATGCTACAACAGATGCTGTCTTCCAAAATGTCAGAGGCAGAACTCCTGTTCTGAACATTTAAACAATAATTTAGTAACAGCTTCAACAAACATGTCATCGTATGGCTAAGGATTTCAAAAACTTAGGATGAACGCCTCTGGACCCGAACTCTATAAAAACATAAGCTTTAAAAGCTGCATCTTGATATCAGAACAGTTTAATTCCACATCTTCAATAACCTCTTTGGTTATAACTTAAAACTCCTACATTTTTAGGGAGAGGCCAGGAGGCTTCACGCACAAACAGAACTAAAGGCACTAGCAAGTACCTCAGCTGACCTCAGATGAACTATCTGTGCGTGTAACCATCTCCTTCTATCTAAAGAAACAACTCTTTATTTCACTTGTCCGTTTATTACGCAAATACAGTAAAAAGATTTACAATTCTGTTTTAAATTAGGATGTAATCTTCTTTTCATAAATTACTTTAGCTTAATTTCGCCACACGCAAAAATATGGCTGCTTTCTATTTGCACAGCTCAAGTTAATAAATCGAAGGATTAATATCAAATTCAGCCCATGCTTTTTTGTCTTGTCTTCCTCATTCTTTTAAGTGGAGTTGTACTCCATGGCACTTGCAGGCTGTTGTCGAGATAAACCGAGCAGCTGGGACAGCTGCAGCAACAGAAACCAATTTACATGTAGTTCAAGCCCACCATATCTGGACATTAGATTGTACAACGATAATCCCAGTCAATATTATTCTTACTAAAGTTAAATAACTCCTCTGAGGAAATCTTACCCCAAATCGCTTCAAAATCTTTGTTTGGGGAACTTTTGTTAGTGTTTGGGCGAAACACCAGTTTCGACCAGTATCCCACATGATCACTCTTGCCAAGCGTAGGAAACGATTCTTACAACCGTTGAACAAGAGCATCATTTGTAACAAAACCTGATCAAGAATGACCTCTCCTGGAGAGTAATCTTTCACAAGCCGCTTCTGTGTTTTCGTTAGAAAGTTCCTACATCAAACCACTGTTCATTAAATAAATCCAATATACTTTGTGAATCATTAAAACCTATCTTACTATAAATTACCACTATTTACACAACCAGTTTCCAAGATACATTTAGGTGTAGGGTTAAAATCTCCTATAAGAAATATTTCAAAAACATTCTTTTCACTAGATATGTTCTTGATGCAATATAATAACAAATTGTTTCTGTTCTAAATTTAAAGAAGTAGACCTATAAATGAACAACAAATATATGATTCAATTCCACCAAGTATTGACATGATAGCTAAAGAATCTGGTGCTTTTAAAATGAGCTCACTAATGAAGCATTACAACTGTTTTTGATATAAAAAAAAATAATAGAACCTCCACCTCCACTTATGTTGCTAGTGGAGTTATCGATTTTAAAATCTCGGTCCTTTCTAAAACATACTAAAACTTCAATAAAAATATCAGCATCAAAAACATATCACTATTAAAAGAGTTTCTCTGTAATGCAGATTACAAGAATGGCTTTATAAACTGATAGAATCCATTATTAAGTTCATCAATATTATTAAATAGTCCATTAGCATTAGTAGTAAAAAAATATTCATGGGCTGACTACATTCTTGTGAATGCTATTTATTCTTCTCACCATCTCTCTGTCTTTTTCT